TTTTTTTTTTTTTTTTTTTTTTTTTTTTTTTTTTTTTTTTTTTTTTTTTTTTTTTTTTTTTTTTTTTTTTTTGTTATAAATACTTTTTAATTTTTGTTTAGTAATATAATGTTAATAATTACAACAAATATTTAGAACATTTCAAAATTTTTTTTTTTTCATATGGTAACTATATTTTAATTTTCAATATATAATGAATTTTTTTTATATAAGAATTTAAATTGAATGATTATATAAATAGTTATTTTTTGTTTCATTTTTGATAATAATATAAGGAAATAAGGATAATTTAAAATAAAATAATATACTTCAAAGTTATTTCCATCTTTTCTTTTTTTCTTTTTTTTTTTGTTTTAAATAAGAAAAATTATTTGTCATAATTATCTTCTAATATTTCTTATTTTTGTTTTTCCTTTTTATTTTTAGTGATATAGGGAAAAATATATATTTTTTACATAAAATATTTATATATAAAAATGAGTATAATTGATGATTAGAATATATTTTAATTTTTTAATTATTACAATATTGATGAAAAAAAAAACTTATAACAAGTAAATTTTTTTATTTCTTATATATCATAATAGAATGCAGTATAACTTTCCTGAAGATAAGATAAAATTGATCGAAAAAAATTTTAATTTAATAGATGATAACAAAGATAAAAAAATTAATGAAAATGAATTTAAAACATTATTGAGATTAATGGGACAGACTAAAACGGAAAAGGAATTTAATACAATTATTGAAGAACATTTTGATGATGAAAGTGAAGAAAATGAAAATAATAAGAGTGAAAATGGAATAAATAAAGAATCTTTGAAATTAGGGAATGATAATCATATAAAAAAATTAAACTTAAAAATTAACAGATCTAAAGATGAAGTTATGGGAAATAGTAGAAATAATATAGAAGACAATACGAAAATGAATGAATTAATAAAAAAAAAAAAAAAGCCTATTAATTTTGAAAAATTTTTGAAATTATTTATGTTAACTTATACTGAGCCTATATCAGTTGATGAATTAATTAAATCTTTTGAAATGTTTGACAATGAAAAAAGTGGATATATAAATATGGAAAAATTTAAATATATTTTAACGAATTGTAATGAAAAATTAATTGATACTGATATTAATTTATTTTTAAATTCATTTAATTTTAAAGACAAAGATAAAATTGATTATGTTACATTGTCTAAAAAATTAAAAAACATAAACTAATATATAGTTCATATTTGAAGGAAGATATTAAATAATAATAAAAAGTATAATAAAGAATAATTTAAAACTTTTTATTTTTTTTTTATGTTTTTTATACATATATTTGTTTATTATTTATACATATTTGAACTTTTATTTATTTTTTTTTTTTTTTGTTTATGACAAGAATAATTCTTTATAGCTCCTTGTCTCCTTATAAATTTTGTTTTTAAAAATTAATAAAATAAAATTGCAATATATAATTTAAATAAAAGCAATATGAAAAATAATCATATATATTTTTTTATCAAGAAAAATCTAAAGAAAATACTCACATTAATTATATATATTTCATCTAATAGAAATTAAATTGATGTTTACATTGTGATTTTTAGATAATTCTTGAGTATTATCTCAGAACTTTAAGAGATCATTTAAAGATATTATAAAGAATGTTTGTGAAAAAAATCATATTAATGTTTTTATGTGAATTAAAATAACTATATATTAATTTTTAGATTTAATTCAAAAAAAATTTTAAATAGTCTTAATTTCATTTCACAGGTGAATAATTCATAACAATTTTAAAAAATAAAATGCAATTAGATTTAGAGATATATCTTTTCCTTTATTTTATTTTTTTTTTTATTTATAAAATAATTTGTACTTATAATTTCTGTACTTATATGAAGTAAGGAATATTAAAACATGTAATCAATAAAAAATGACAAAATTTTAATGGAAAATTTTTATAAATTCTTTATACAAAAGTTTTTACAAAATAATTAAAAAGATAATTGAAATACTAATTTTGACCTACACTGAATAGAAAAAAGCGTATATTTGTAATATAAAATAATAAATTAAAAAAAAAAATAAATAAAAGCAAAAGATAAATATGAATAAAAGCAATTTTTACACTTATAAATACTTAATCTTACTTATTTTAATAGCTTTTGACACTTACTACAAGATTATACTTTTTTTCTAACATCATCTTAAAATATCTTTTTTTTATTAAATATTATATTTAAAACTATTTTTCAACTTATATTTTCTTTTTTTTAAGTACCTTATTAAATTTATTTTTTAAAAATATAGGAATAAAATGATATTATATTAACAATATTGATAAACAATTAATTACTATTATTATTTGTATTTGATGTATTTGTAGAGCTATAAGATTAAGAGAATTAATTTTAAGATAATATATATATAGTTATGCTTTGTATCGATGTATCACTTTGTTTATAATGTAATTCGCAATCAATATAACTTCTTTTTATGCAGGATCTACTTTCGAATAATAAACCAATTCAATGTATATGTTATATGAAAAAATACTTTATATATTTTATAATGTACATTTTTCTTTACTATAATATTTTGTACAGAATTCCTGAGGAATGTGCCTACTATAATTTGTTTCTATATAGTTATATTTACAGGAAGCTTCAAATTTTGTTTTTTCTGAATAAATATATTTTTTTATATATATAATAATATATCATAATTCTTCCTAAATTATGTATATTGTATGGATATTCCTTTTCATAAATCCTTTAATTTTCTAATAAAAATACAGTATTACATATGCATTTAAAACTTTTACATTTTTGAGCTAAGTATCAATTGTTATAAATTAAATCAAACGTAACCTCAGTGACAACATAATTTATTACAACTATAATGAAAAATTAAAAGAAATACTTTTTTTCAACGATAAATAAAAAATAAATATTTGAATTTAATGAGTCCTTAACAATATTAAATTTTATATAGATCAAATTAGTTAAAACAATTTTGTAAAAAAAGAGGAAGACAAGAAACAAAACAAAAAAAAAAAAAACAAAAAAAAAAAAAAAAAAAATACAAAATAAAAAAAAAAAGAAAAAAATAAATAATCAAAAAAAAGAAAAAAGGAAAAAAAAAAAAAGAGGAAAAAAGAATATTAAAAAATAAATTTTCTTTTTCATTTAGTTATACATTCATATTATTTTTTTATATGAATTTTTTTTATTCTTCTTTTATGCAATAAAATTTATTTTTTTATATTTTTCTTTAAAAAGTTAACAAAAAAAGAAAAACTGAAGTAAATTTTATTCAAATTAGTGCATATAATTATGATTTAATTTGGTCTGGTAATTATATTACTTTCATTAAGTGCAGCCATATATTTAAATGATATAAATTACAGCTATTAAGAAAACTATATTTAATGCATTGAAAAGGGATAAGGTGCTATTACCACTGCTAGGAGGTGGGCTGTTACCACCACCACCACCACCACCAGACCCAGACCCAGAATTATCATTACCACACATATAATACACATCATGTTTTATGCATTTCTTGCCTTGTGCACATTCTAGTGTACATTTAGTATCTCCGTCTTTTGTGCATTTATTATTATCTTCTGGATTTATGACTTTACCAATATTACATGAACAAAATGCACCATCCTCATGTATTCCATCCCATACACATTTTCCTTCTCCACATTCCTTATAATTACATTCCGCTTGAATACATTTATCTTCATATTGAATATAACCTCTATTACATAGGCAATAAAAATTACTTTTATTATCTTTGTATGGATCCTCAAGACATCTAGCATAGTCAGCACAAGGTTTATTTGTATCTTCTAAACTTGTACATTTATTTTTTGGTTCACACTCATAACGATTCGTTAATACATAGTCATTATTACATTTGCACTCAATATGATTGCTCATCTCTATTAAATAACCATTTTTACAAGGTTCATCATCTGAAGGAGCTGCAATAGTTAATATTATTGCAATTTGAATAAAAAAGAAAAAATATAAACTAGGAATTTTCATTTTTTTAAATAAATGTTAAAATTGTTTTCGTTTACTAAATAATCTTCGTTTGAATATTTTGTAGAATAATTTATTATGGGAAATAGAAATGAATTTAAAAATGATAATAATATGACAAAAAAAAACAAAATAAAAAATAAAAACAAAAGAAAAATTAAATAAAAATAAAAGAAAAATTAAATAAAAATAAAAGAAAAATTAAATAAAAATAAAAGAAAAATTAAATAAAAATAAAATTAATGAAAAACAAAAAGTTCATAAAAAATTTTCATATTTCTTTTAGCTAGTTTTTTTTTTTATATACAATAACAAATGGCTGTCTGTACAAATGGTAATATTAAAATATAAAATTCTTAAAACATTTATAGAAAAAAAAAGATCTTCTTAATCTTTGTAAAAATAACTGTTAAATAATTAAAGATAATAATTTATTCTTTTTATTTGGTATTTTAATGTCTTCATATGTTGCGAAACTTTGTTAAAGTTTAGATAAAAATAATCGTAATCATAATGATCAAAATACTGATACATGGCTTACTGACGTGGTCATGCTCTCGAATATTATTGTCGTCATAGGTACTTCCATTGGGAAGTTTTATATTGTAAGGATATTTATAACAATAATTTTTTATTGCACATTCTGACCCATTTAAATATAACATGTTTTTAGTTTTTCCATTGTCCACAAACCTTCGATAATCAGGTGTGTTCTCTTAATGTAAAAATTCATTAAGAAAATATTCACATTTTTCACATGTAATTTGTATATCTATATATCATTTGCCTTCACTGCTTACAATATTATTACATTTTTTTGGAATATACTTTTTGCTTTTTTTATGTAAGATAAAATATTGATGGAAAGAAAATTTGGTATTATTAAAATTATTACCCTTTGAATATACAGAAAAAATGTCACAAATTTTATGAACGTCATAATGTCCTTTGAATAATAATTTTTTGTCCAAAGGGCATTTGAACTGAATATTTTTCATCACATATACGTACATAAAATCCACTACATAATTCATTAAATATCAACTGTCACAATTTTAACCAGGAGGAACAACTAGAGAGCTAATACAATTGATTGAAAGATGAAAAAAAAAAAAATGTATAAGGAATTTTTTTTTTTAGTAGAAAAAGATAAAATTGTATATTATAGTAAAATTACATTTTACTAACTTTTAAATATTAAAATGATATTATTACCTTTTCGAAGCAATTCATATAAGAAAAAAAAACAAAAAAAAAGAAAAAAAAAAAAAAAGAAATAAAAAAATAAAATAACATAAAGAAAAAAATCATGAAGATAATTTCTCTTGTATACTCTTTTTTTTCGATCCTTTAAGAATTATTATATGCATTAGTTTAGTATTCTCGCCTTTCTTTTGATTATTCTTTTTTTTATCATGTAGTAATTATTAGGCATTTTAGCAATACTTATCTGATATTTTTTTGGAAATTTTTTTTTTTTATAAAGAAACAATTATTAAATATACTTTTTTTATTAGAAACATTTTTTATATCAAATATTAATTCTTATTTGGTATTTCTATAATGTTTTAATAAATTTTTTTTTTGATTCTTTTTTTTTTTTTTAATTAAAAAAGAATTATTCTAGAACATTTTTTTTTTTCATAACTTATTTTTAGTTATTTTGTTCTATTAAATAAAAATTGTTGTGATTCTATTTATAGTAACTTTCATTATTTCATTTTTGAATAATTTTTTTTTATTAAGCACCAATTATTATAGTGTAAAACGAAAAATCTGTCCACACTTTTCAAAATGATATGTATATATATATATATATACAAAAAAAAAAAAAAAAAGATACGTGAAAATAATTAACAAAGATTTACAAAAAAAAAGTTAAGCTTTATTATACTTAATATAAAAAACTATAAAGTGTTTTAACTTGACAAATATTTTCTTTTTATTTGTTGTGATATCATATTCAAATAATATAAAAATATATTAAGGATATGATGAAAATTATACTTAAGTTTAAAATATTAAATAGTGAAAAAGAAATGCATGCATTTTCTTCCTTATCGAAAGTGTAACCATCCTTACAATCACATTTATAAATTCCTGATGTTTTTTTACAAGTTTCATTTTCTTTAGTGCACTTTAATGTACATTCAGTTTGCCCTTCTATTGTACACGTGTTATTGTTTTCTTTACTTGGAACTATACCTATAAAACATGAGCACATTGGAATTTTAGCCTCTTGTTTTGGATCTAGTACACATTTCCCACTTTCACATCTAAAATTTTTACATTCATTTGGTACACAAATGGATTCCTCTAAATCATATCCATCAATACATTTACAGGTTAATTCTTTTTGTTGAAGATCTTTATAAGCACATTTAGAGAAATCGCCACATGGCTTATCTAAGGAATTAGCATTGCATTCAACTTTATTTTCACAGGTACTTTCAGATGTTAGTACAAATCCAGGATTGCAATTACATTCAAAATGATTACTCATCTGAATTAGAAAACCATCTTTACAAATCGTATTTTCAGTAACTTTTGAATTAATGTATTTTAATACAAGTTGAATGAAAAAGAAAAAAAACAAGTAAGACATATTCATTTTTTAAAAAGGATAATAATATAATTAATATGTTATTTTAAGATATATTAATAAAATAAAATTTGAACAAAAATTTATACTAAAAAAAAGGAAATAAAAAAAGAAAACAATGTGACAAAAAAAGAAATAAATAATAGTTACAATTAATTATGTGAATAGAAAAAAGATAAGAAGAAAAATTATTTAAATATTTATTAAAAAAAAAAAAAAAAAAAAAAAAAAAAAATTAACAATAAAATAAAAAAAATAATTTAACTTTCTTGTACAAATATTAATATGTTAACAATATTTACTTATTTTTTTTTTTTTTCTAAATTATACTTTATATTTAAGATATATTAAAATACATTATTGTGTCCTATAAGAACTAAATATGTAAAATGCTCAAGTTATTTATAATGGAAAAAAAAAAAAAAGAGCTAATTATTATTTTTGTATATACATCATTTAGAGTTTTTCCGACCCTTGCATATGATAATTTGCTTCTTTCTATTAATAAATATTATGATAATATGTATAGAACATTCTACATTATAATTATAAATAAAAAATAGGAATTTAAAATGATCAAACAATTTATGAAAAAAGAGGAATAGTTAAATGATCAATATGTCCATTTTTATAAAATAGTTATTTCACTAATTTTTAGTTAAAAAAAAAATAAATAAATAATAGTAGATACATAAAATATATATTTACCTTTAAAGATATTATCATGTATATAAAAATATATATATATATACATTTTATTTTTATCATACTGAAATATATATATATATATATATATGAATTAAAAACGTTTTATATTTTTGTCTTTCACTCAAAGAAAAATAATTTTGAAATTTTTTATATATTTAACATAATATAATTATATTAAGAAGTTTCCTCTTTAAAAAATATTATTTTTATATATAACAATTATTTCTATTTTAAACTCTAAAATATTTTTTTAAGACAACTAAATTTTCATGATTTGAAATTTGACATATATAATATTTCTATATGTGAATAAATATTCGATTAATTAATCTTTTTTCTTTTTTTAATTAAAAATACAATTAATAATTGAAGAAATAATAGAAAATAAAATTAATGAAGTAATTTAATTAATTATGGTTATTTCAAATGTAAAATTTATAAATACTCTTACATTTAATTGCTTAATTTATTTTTTTGGAACAAAGAAAAATTTATATGTAATTTCAATGAATCCTATAATTTACTTTTATTTTTTCAAATTTGTTCTAAACTTAAACATATGTGAAGGTAACTTCACATGTTTTCAATATATTTATAATTTAAATGTTTGTACATTGTGATTTTATTACATGTATTATATCATTAATTTTTTTCTTTCGTTTCTTTTAATTTTTTTTTTATAGTTTTTTTCACTAATATTTTGATTAAGCTATTACATAATAAAAGAGATATCCTCGCAATATATTCCTTAATAAAAATATCTTTTTATTTGTTTTAATAAAAGGCATATTTTATGTTTAAAATTTATTTTTTAAAAAAATATTTTATTTTATGTTTTCATTAAATGGATACAAATAGAAAATTAGAGAAAAACTGAATTGTACTATTTAATAAATACATAATTTCTATTATTCTTATATTTGTAAAAAATTAAAAAAAATATAACTCTATCTTTTTATTTTGTAATTTCTTTTATGTTTCTACTTCTCTTAACATCTACACAAAATTATATATTAAAATTTATTTTTTGTTTTAAAACATAAAATTTTAATAAAAATATATCTTTTTTATTATTTTATTTTTTTGTTAAATGAATATAATTTGACTACATTTGTAGTAGTTAACTCGAATATAAAAGAAATTTTAGTGGTAAATATATAAATATGTATATTAATTTATTTTTCTTTTTTATAATATTTAACTTATTGTTAATAATTTTCTTTTATTTCATTTTTATAACATATATATTTAAACCTTAATTTCTAAACTTATAAAAATGTTTTATTTAAAATATCAATATTTTTATGGATTATTCATATTAAAAATTAAAGGAAAAAATTTTCAAATTATAATTTTTTTTTTGAAATACTATTAACATTTGTGCATTTCACAAATTTACTATTAATTATAGTTGTCTATATCTTCATAAAATAATATGTTTCAAAATTTACGATATATTTATTTTATGTTTAACACTATTCTCTTTTTTTTTTTTTTTTCTACTTATTTATATGATGTTATTTTTTTTTAAAAAACATTATATTTTACTTTATTAAATAACATGTAAAATTTACATCAATGTACTTTTATTTATTATTTTTAAGCATTTATTCATTAGTATTATCTGTTTAAAAATATATAGTGTTTTTTGTCAATATAAAAATATTGTTAAATATGATATTTTATAATATTTTAATAAAATAATTAACATACACATCTATATATCTAATAATCATGTTTTATTTAAAAAGAGTTCACAATCCTTAATTAATTTGTTAGTATTAAATTTTTGAAAAATTAAAAATAAAAAAGGTGTTTCTTTCCATATCAATTGAATTCTATTTATTTCATTTTCACATGTTTCATCAACATAAATGATGGCTTTATGTAAATTTTCCTTTAATTTATAATCTCTTTTAAAATAAATTAATGTATTTTTAAGAAATTTATGCAAAGAATGTAATATAATGCTATTAGTTTTACTTTCTTCTATAATATTTTTAAAATTTTTCATTTTTTTAATGCATTTCTTCATTTCCTCCAATGTTATTTTTAATATTTCGTAAACTTTTATAAACTCATATTTTAATTCTTTCTTAAAAATAATAGTTAATGTCTCTTTTTCATTAATTCCCTTATTTGAATTAAAGCTAAAATAAAAAAAATAGAAAAAAAAAAAAAAAAAATAAAATAAAATATTTAAAAGTTAATTGTTTAACACATAATTGTATATAAAAGAAATGTTATTTATAAAGTATGTAAAAACATATACTTTTTGTTTAAGATGATATTTATCAGTTCATTTATTGATGCACAGGTTTTATCATGTAAAGCAAAATATTTTTTTATGTAAATAATACTTTCTTTAACAATAAATTTCTCATTTTTCTTTTCTTCATTCATTATATATTTTGAATTATTATTATTTTATTTTACTTTTTTTTTATTTAATAAAAATGAATTAAATGTATAAATTTTATATATTTTCACTTAATCACTTAAATAAATTTATGCATTTTATAAATTAAAAGCTTAATTAGTATATTAAAAATAAATTTTAAAATAAAAAATAAATACATATATATGTATATATGTATATATATATATATAAAATTTAAATAAAAAAAAATATACAGTAATTAGAATGAAGAGTTATGTGTATTTATAAATATAAAGAATCTAACAAAGTTAATTTGTTTTATAAAATATTTTAATATAAAATCCTTTTGTTATTTAATTTTGTTAGTTAGTATTAAAGTTTAATGTATGAAGTATAATATACTTTTATTTATATAGTTGTCATTTCAGCTATATTTTTTTTTAAATTATAATAATATTATATAAAATATTAGAAGCATAAAAAAACATAATTTCAATTTAAGGTTCTTTTGATGTTTAAATTAAAAATTTTAAATCATTTAAAAAAAAAAAAAAAATCTGATATATAAAAATTTTATAAATTGTTTTTAGACTGTTTATTCTCTCATATACATTAAATTTATTACAGCAACACAATTTAATATAATTAATTATAGATATTTAACTATCTTTTTTTAAAAATTAATGTTGAATTAGGGTAGTTAAAAACATGTAATTCATAATATTTTAATTTAAAAATAGTATTTATAATATCTATGAAAATCATATTTTTCATTAAAAAAATTAGACTTATAAAAATGATTTCTTTAATAAATTAATTTGTGCTTTATATTGTTCTAATGCATAATAATAAAATATTAGAAAATTTTTTTATTTATTAAAAAAATAATAATTAGAAAGTAGTTTTATTTTTATTCTATTTAAAAAAAAAAAAAAAAAAAAAAAAAAAAAAGG